TGGACAAGGGCGGTCGGCGTCGGGAATGAAGAGGAGAGCTGCTAGAGAACTAGAGCAGGGTTGGATGGAGAGAGAGAGAGAGAGAGTCTAGCCATTCTCCTAAACAGCCTTCTCAGCCACCAGATCTCCTCGTAGTCGCAAATCCCGAAAACCGACCGGCACTGTGCACGGCGTCCTGAACCCACCCTCTCTTTCTCTCCCCACTGGGTGGAAAGCCCAGCGGGCTGCTCTCTTTGTTCGCCCATCCCCCGTCCGTCGTGCCTCGAATCCGCACCGCAACCGAAGGCCAACGTCACTTCTCTGCCAATCCCCGCCTGCTTGTACCCGTCCGCCCGTCACCTCACCACCTGCACCCTTTCACCCAACTCCCCAGTCTTGGACTTGTCACTCTGCCCTGCGGCCACCACAACCACCACCACCACCACCACCACCACCAGAATCATTCCGTGCATTGTTCTTCAATTGTTCCCACATCCGAAACCCCTTCAACCTTGAAATTGTGTGAATGGCTCTGTGGCATTCGCACCCCCTTCACCTGTCCCCATCTCTCCTTCCCACCCTGCATCTGCATTCGTGCAGCTCGCTCAAGCGCTCCTATCATTGCCCCAGCCCACTCCAGCGAGCCTAGCCACGATAGCCCTTTCTGGCTTTTGCTTGTTCTTCTTGCACTCTTGACCTTTTTGGCAACACACTCTCCGCCTTTGCCCAAAGCCCTACTCCTCTGGCTTGTCTCCTCGTGTACCACCGAATTCAGGTCGCATGGAAACATCGCCTACCGTATCCTCAGGTACCACTATGCCCGTAGTTGGCTCTACGAGTCGACAATTGGCCCTGTCCTTTGAAGAGCCCACGCTATCCGATCGCCTGCGTCACCGAGACTCACGGTTGGTCGACTATCCCATATCCATTGAAGAGGAGGATGAGAGCAATGGTTCTGCAAGCGAGCCAGCGGAGCCCCTCACACCCACTAGCCACAACAGCGACACTGGCGCGCCCTTCTCTCACCCATTTCGCCATGGTCACCACGTTGAGGAGCAGACAGACGAACACGTAGACGACGTTTTCGCAACACCACGTCCAGCCACGCGCGACAGTTAGTGCGGACCCTTGAATATAAG